CTAGAGTTCAGTCAGCTGGAGTCAGTCGGATTTGTAAGACGTTTGTGAGAGATGGCCGCCAGACTGGGAGTTAGCTGTGATTCAGTCGTCAGCCAGTAAGGAAATGAACACGGAAGCTGAGGAAGCTACGGCGTTGAAATCCACCACCAGGGGACAACCGGTAAAGATACAGCAGACTGAGAAGACTACATGCGTGCTGTAGTGAATTATAGAGTGTGTGAAATAGCGATAGCGCTATGGTAACTTGTAGTTAAGATGTGTAAGTGTTCAATAAATCCAATTATATGTCCAAATCCCGTCTATAGTCGCTCATACACCTGAAAATGTTTTTAGTTTATGGATACAAGGTATTCTACAATTGAATTTATTTTTTTATATTTATACAAGCTGGAATGTCGTGGGATCGAATCCCAATGAGGTGGATTTTTTTTTTTCAATTTACCTAATCCTTTCAGCCTCACTATGGCCAAGGGGTCGACTCAGCCTCTAACAGAAGTGAGTACCAGTAATATTCCTGGGTTGTAAAGGGCGGCCGGCGTGTAAGGCTTGCAAACTCACCGCCATCTGTGAGCCGATTATCTAGAAAATGTGGGAACCTCGACATCTCGCAAGCCTATGGGCCTTCACGGCCTGTTACAGGGATACATTTACTTTCACTTACTTATTTATAAACAAAAAAAATACAGTTTTACACATATACAGTAACAAAAGGACACACCGATATTCTATTTCATAGCCCAGGAATTAATAAGGAGAAATTAATTCCACTTTGTTTCGCTAGAGTAACAAAATTAATTTCAGTTCTACATATCCAATAAGGACTAAAATGTACTTAAATGCTACAATTTCTGGTGGAACACACCCTGTACTTGAGAATTAATAACACAGTGCTTTTTAAATAATTTACAATCAGCTGTGACACTGCTAGACTCAAAAGTGTTTTCGTACCATTCATCAAAATCATGTGACGTTATTTCGAGATAAGGATTCATTTGAATATCTACTGAGACCTTGAATCAACTCATTTGAATATCGGTTAAATGAATTTGGGTGGAATCATTTGTATGTCACTTAAAAGACCCCAGGTAATGCTAAATACACATCCGATGTTTCAGCAAATGCATACGTACACTGCTTCTGTGGAGACAAGATATTTCAGCGGCAGTAAAGGCAACTGGGACCATATCTTGTGTACCCTCTCAGGTGTTCTTCACTCCACAAAGCGCCCTCCGTCAGCGTCCCGCCCATGGTCTGCAGTGGCAGGGCTGTCCAGCTTCGAACCACTTGTCAGAATTAGAACCAGATACTTACCGGCGGGCCGCATTAAAAAGAAGTTTGCTATTTTTTCCCCACTCTTCCAATAGAGATGTCTGCCATGCAATGAGGAAATATTTGAATCACAACACGCGAAAGCTAACTGGACCCATTACTTTTAAAATACTGATGTAATTGAAATTTAATATGTTGTAATGATGCACACCAAAGTATAAATTAAAATCATCATGATACGGACAAATTCGTTTTTTTTTCCGTCCTCAAGTGAAAGGGGAAGACACTTACTCTGTTGGGTCCCTCAGCAAGAGCTGACATCAGACAACATATGTCGTTATAAACAGCTTCATAAATATCTGATACCAGGCTTTGTTAATGGGAGATAACAGGAGAAAATTGGTGAAATATGCACAGACCCGAAATTGAGATAAAAAAGAATGTGGAAATTTTATGCAACAATCCCAGCAGACAAACTAAGTCCATGTGAAGCAACGCAAGTGATTAATTTGAGAATGATGTGAAATTATGATGTGCCTATAGGTTCGAGTCCCGATGAGGTGGATTTTTTTCAATTTACCTAATCCTTCCAGTCGCATTATGACCCTGGAGTTGACTCAGCCTCTAAGAGAAACTAGTAGCAGGAATCTTTGTGGGGGATAAAGGGCGGCCAGCGCGTAGGGCTGACAACTTTACGGCCATCTGTGAGCCGATTATCTAAAGAAAATGTTGGAGTCTCGATATCTCACAATCCTATGGACCTCCACGGCCTGTTACAGGGATAAATTTAGTTTAACATTTTTAAGCCATTAACAATATTGCTTTAGGTAATGACTTAATTCATAACAAAGAAATGTAATCATTGCATCCACGCCGATAACATCATGAGGGCGCCTTTCACTCTTGAGTTTTGTGGCAACTTCCTTCCCACCTAAGTCTAGTGGACAACCTTTCTTAAGACATACATTTACAAAAGTAGTTTTTGATTCCGGTAATTTTGAGAATTCCTTTCATTCGAGGCCATTGAAACCAGCAGCGTTAGATGAATGCGCAATAGTAGTGCAGATTTTGGATTATAATTGTCTATGGAGAACAAAATAATGAAAACCCATCAATTTTACCTTGTAGTAGTTAGGAAATTTACGTATTGCGTAAAATATGCTTTACAAGTTTCAGGTCTGTAGGCCACTGAGAAGAATGCCGTCTTCTGGGATGTGGCGCCGTGTAGATATTGTGTTAACCGACGTTTCGGAGGAACATATCGCCTACATCTTCAGGGCACAAGAAATCTGAGAGCGATGAACCAGCGTGAGCAGATGGCTGCACCGTGTAACTTTGCGAAGGACTGCCTAATACTGCATATGCTTTGGCTTCTGTTGGTGTTGTTTTATTCTGTGTAGAATTTCCGCATTATCTGTCCGTCTTGTTGTTAGGGTGTGCGTGTACTCTGCAGGTGGTGCAGTCGGTAGTGCCTCTTTTGCCATTGATATACTCAGTGGCCTGTATTCCGCAAGCGAACTATACCGACCGAGCGACCGCCGCTTGCCGGCGAAGTTAGTGCCACATTTAGCGGATAGAGAGTGTCGCGTGGTTAGCGCAACGAAACCCCACGGTCGCTAATCTCGATTTTCTGGACCTTAGTCGCTATTTCCTTGAAATAGCTCCTAATTATCCTCACGATGCTGATAGGACCCCGTTCCAGGCCCATTACTTCTCAGAAAATCTGGTAGCGCCGGGAATCGAACGCGGGAGCTCTGGATCTGTAGGCAGGAACTCACCACTAGACCACAGAAGCGGCCTGCCATTGATATACTGATGATGCATTTTTCTAGAAGTAACTGCTACATATCTCCACCTGTTTTAATCAGTTTTGTGCGTACATATAATTTTGTAAGAAACAAGAAAAATGTTCGATGTCGCATCATTTTACTCTAAATTTACCTGTGGCTCTGCAGTCCTTCTGTTGGGCCCTGGCAGCTTTTTCACTTTCTTAATCCTAAGCTCATTCGGTAGGGCTCCTTGAACGGGGGATCAGCCCGTCGCAAGGTCTCTACCTACATACAGAACAACACAAACAGAATGAACCACAGACAGACATCCATGCCCCGAGTAGGATTCGAACGCACGACCCCAGTGTTTGAGCGAAGACTGGTCATGCCTTAGACCGTGCTGCCACTGTGATTGACCAATGAATTTCCCACTATTTCTGGTTTCTTGGTGTTGCTTTCTTCCCTAAAATATTCGCTTGAAAAGTTTAACTAGAATAGCTGACCGTAAAATATTTATGTTATTGCAGAGAGAGAGAAACTCTTACACAACCTGCATTCCTCTGGTACGCATTATTGTACTTCCGGGATCTGTAAGATAAATAGCAATGTGTTCCCAGTATTCCTACTGTAACCGTTCTTTGGTTCTGCTAGCTCTAGTAGAGAAATCGAACTCCTCTCAGGGCGTGTTGACTGGCCACGACTTAGGTGATTAGTGGGGCTTTAGGCGTAGAGAAGTCACCTCAACACCCATTAACTGTTTGAAGTCTTTATACAACCTGCACTATTTGTACGGAAACAGCACCGTGGTGACACTTCACAGAATTGTGGATGTAGGCTTCCTTACTGTTTTCCGAGACGCGCACTTAATAGTCACCACAGGGCGTGTTTATGGGGATCAGCACACGTGTACCCCCGGTGAATGTAACTTTCAGAGTCCTCCTTGCCAAGCACCCTCTGAATGGTAAATATTTGCCCTGGTTACCCAAAATTCGGGCAAAGGACCTCCCACTTCAGACGATGATTGGCTGGACCGGGCAGACTGGGAGGTTGCTTATCATTCTCCTCCAATTAGGAAAGCGAATCTCCACTAGTGTACAGTTTAGGGGTGAGCTTTGCCACCTGCTGCGTGGCTGTCAAACTGAGATTTTGGGGTAGCAGTGAACGACGCTGCTAAATTTATGACTTCCCCTGTCAAGTTTAGAATTTCTAAAGAACTCGGCCTTGTGTTACGCATTAAATTGACTGATTTACGGATGGGCAGCTGACTTCAAGCTTGACCAAAGCCACTTGCTGCTTGTCTCAGGGGGAAAATTTCAAATTGTGAGGCGAAAGTGAGGAATTTCACAGAACCCTAACCATATACAAAACATCAATTGACCATCACATAAACTGGACAGTTACACTACGGACGAGACTTTCCTTAGCGTAACAGCGTATGAATCCAAACTTCTATTGTTGTGGTAGTATTCGCCACTTATCATTAACACTGAATCTGTGTCTGTTTAACAGTGAGTTGTCACAGACTATAACATGAGTCATACAATTAAAGGCTGTATTATTGCTCATCGTGAGGTCTTGGTGTTAGTGTTGGCCCATTCATGTGAGCAGAAATCTACGAAAAGGATGACTGTACAAACATCGAGTTCAAATCTTGTTCAGAAGTTTATGTACCTGTTCTGAACGCCGTGTGTCTTCTTGAAACGGATTCAGTCGCCCTAGTCTAGTATATTCACTATCATATCACATCCGAATATGCATCGACGGGGATTATGGAGAGCACCATAACATTTAAACAAGCAATGGGAACTTTTCTGTATTTAGCACTCGCTCCTATTTCTCACGAATTTGTTTAGAATCACAACGCAGTTTGTTAATGACATGCGGCACCCTTACAGGTGCACGAGTGATAACAAGTTCAGTGTGTGTATTTGATAAGAGTTGTGAAGCTTGCTTTGGCATGGCGTTAATTGCGACCTGAAAAAACTGCGCAGAGAGTTCTTTCACTGGGCAGTGCATCCGTCTCGCTGGTCTATTCTTCAGTAAGTAATAACTACAGGTACATACAGTGTTGTGTGGGATATTTCTGTATGACAAACATGATTCCCAAGAAGCCAATGCACAAAAATCTGAACTTACAATTATGGTATTCCACCTGAAAGAAGTATTTTCTCTAAATATGTATTTAAAAATTAAAAAAAAAAATACTTTTACAAATTCAATAAAAATTACATGTATTATGATGATTATAATCATAACACTAATATGGATTCATATTAGGATATTTCAATAAAGTGAGACATATTTAATGAAACTGCCTGTGGATGGCCCAAAAAATTGACCGAAATATATAGCAGTAATTAAATAAAACCCATATAAACAATTAGATTAGTCTCTAAATTTGATAGCTATTACTGATACTGAATGCGACGAAGGAGTCGTGCTGATTCCACAGTTCGATAATTTATTTATTAAAGTCCGTGTGAAATCAAGTGAAATATTTAGCAATTACTTCCCTTGTTTTTCTTCGAGTGTATAACGGCCTTAACACATATTTCTGTGAAAGGAAAAACAAACTTACAGGTTTCATAAAAGAAATTTAAGGGCCATATACTGTCCTTGTGGCGTAAGTTGCGGGTTGATTCCCGGTTAGGTCATTGCGATTTTCAGTAGATCGAATCCTTCAAGCCTCACTATGACCCTGGGGTTGCCTCAGCCTGCAACAGAAATGAGTATCAGTAATCAGTAAGCTCTACTCTTTCACTCTGTGATTGTAATTTTTAGTTGAAAATGTGTATTATTATTATTATTATTATTTTTTATTATTATTAGAGGGGGTGGGTTTCCCCATGCACTTAGATCTGTTATTGGTACATTGTGCGTCCCCTTTTAATTTCTACTGTCGCCATACCCTACCGATACTGGTACTACGACACGGGACCCACGGCTTAAAGTCCCTCCCGGAGGACTTGTTCCCTGAATTTTTCCGCCCTTAAAAATTCCACAACCTCCGCCGGGTTTGAACCCGCGTACCTTGAGTCATGAGGTGGGAACGTTACCCCTAGAATACGGAGGCCACTTTAAATGTGTGTATAGTTGCTACGATTGGTACGCTCTTGACATATTTGTGTATCTTCAGTGTTTTTCTAATAGCTTGACCATATTGTATCTGTAATGTAAAAGCTTAATTATGAGTTATTTTTAATTTTGTTATGCACACTAAGGTATAGTTGCAATTTTTTGTACTTAAATTTTGTGATATAAGGGGGGAATATCGGAGGTATTTTGCTGAATGTTTGCGAAATCTGAAAACATTTCTGTGAAGTAACATTCACTCGTGTTGGTCTGTGTATTGGTTGAATATCACATTTCTCTGCATGTAACCTCGTCGTTGTTTCGGATTTGTTTATGTGGCGGTATTTCGGTGACTTATCAACTACTCTGACTGCGTCACTCCCAGGAAAAGACGTCCGGTAAAACGTGAAGGAAAGCTTGTCTCAGTGTTTAATTAGAACCACGCCACGGAAGCGTATAGAGGAGAGGACCATTCTTAACCTCGGCACTATGTGTGGTGTGTGGTCATCTTGACCCCCCGGCCCCTTTACCCGCGGGAAAGAACACCTGGTTTCGATCGGACAGGAGGCTAGGTTGACCAAAATATCGATGTTGACAGTGAGGGGAAGAGAAGTATGTATTTCTCCTGCCAGGAATGGAACACCAGGTGTGCAGCCCTTAGCTGATCACTATATCGACTGAGCTTTCCCAGTTCATACAGACCCTGGAAAAGCCACAGTATCGGAAAATAAACATAAGCAAAGAAGTAAGGAAAACAAATACAGACAAAAGACAAACTTGTTACGATAGACTCGTCAAATGCGTGGGCTACCACGAGAGCGTAACGTTTGGCTCTGTCGCCTAATTCGCATGAAGGGGAAATCGCCCAAACTCCAATCAGCTTTGGAGGCCCCATACAAGGTAATCACTCGGATAAGTTATATGGTATACAAGATGCAGCTGAACCCTAAATCAAGGTTGGCGGTGATAAATCTGGAGCTACTTGCATCTCATTAGGAAGCCTCTCGGGACGAGCGAATTTAAGGAGGGAGCAGTGGAAGCAGCTGGAAGGTAATCACCGTGCGAACCGAGCCACTGGTCAGAAAGACGAGGTCGATCACATAAGTTACAAACACAGCTCTCGAAAAAAGAAGAAATGGCCGTAGACCTGTAGGCTATTCGGAATAAATAGCCTTGAGGAGGGAGCACTGTAGCATATAGACCCGTTGCTAGTTAATGGCCCTTACGCAAGGAAAAGGGGAACACATCACGTCCGCGGTGAAGTCACGCAACAATAGGAGAGATCTTGCAAACTATATTCTCTGTAGGTCCGTTCCGAGACTGTATGACACGACCGAACTTTTTCAGTTCAGTTAATGATTGTAGTGTATTTGATTACAGTGGAGTCAAGTAGTTCTTTGGTGCGCAGTCAGTTAGTGGCCGCGTCATAGCTCAAGCGGTTAGTCGCTGGTTTTCCACCGCGGGGGCCCGGGTTCGATCCCGGGGCTGGTCAAGTGGAATTTGTGGTGGACAAAGTGGCTCTGGGGCAGGTTTTCTCCGAGTACTTCGGTTTCCCTTGCCAATCTTCATTCCACCAATTGCTCCACAATCACCCTCACCTATCATCTGGGGCTGGTATAATAGGCCAGAAGTGGCCGCAGTACAAGGGACTTAGTCCCACCCCACTAGCAATAAACAAACAGTCAGTTAGAGGACTGCTGTAGTTCAGTCGGTGTAAGATATTGCCCTAAGAAGCTGGTAGCTGAGGCACGGGGATAGTTAGGAAACCCAGAGTAAGAGGTACCTCTGCCCTTACCAAAGAACGACGCGTGTGAATTATTGATAGCGCCATTGTTACTTATAGTTATCATCTGTTAGTGTTCAATAAATCAGTTACCACTTCAAACTCCGTCTATAATCACTTCATACACGTGACCATATTTCAAATGTAAGGATATCTTAGTGCAGCCTCTCTTCCGAAAATATCGCGGTATATCTCCTGAATTTGCGGGACGGATGTCGCAACCCGTCACGTGACTGACAATTGAAAAGAATCGTCTTTGCTATACAAATGTATTCACGGTCAAGCGGGGCAAACAATTTGCGTGACCTGAGTGGGACGCCCCATCTGATAATATCATATTTCGTGCAATTCTAAGAGCCTCCATTATAACATAAACAGGTCTGCAACAACTCATATGGCGGTTCTCAAGCTCAAACTAAAATAACTGATAGTGAAATTACCCGGTTCATACTATCGGTACTACTAATACCGAGGTCTCTCCCGCTACGGTAACTGTCCACAGATTACTTTGTGTGTTTTTATAGAATAAATAGTAAGCGAATGGTTGATATGCCCATTTTTTCAATACAAAATGTTGTTTTATGTTTCAGTGAGTGTCCCAAAGTAGAGTTTAGAAACATTGTGGTACGCATATCAAAATATCTGAGTTAGCTTGGAGCTATCCAGTGACATTTTATATAAAACTAAAAGTACCCTTGTAACACACATTGGAGGCCCATAGGGTTGTGAGAGGTTGAAGCTCCCATATCTTGTAAACAATCGGCTAATGACGGTAAGGTTGTCAACTTTACGCGCCGGCCTCCCTTTAACACCTAGGAAGATTCCTGCTACCCATTTCTGTTAGAGGCTGAGTCGACCCCAGGGCCATAGTGTGGCTGGAAGAATTAGGTAAATTGAAAAAATCCACCTCATCAAGACTCGAACTCTCGACCTTCCGGCGTGTAGCATAGTGCCTCAACCAACTACGCTACCGCGTACCCCACTCGTTTTATATTTTATTATATTTCCTTTTATATTTATATATTTTAATTCTTGAATGTAAACGTGATTTTTTCTGTGATTTCAGTCATGGGTCTGGTCTTTGCAGCCAGTTTCCTGGAATGGCTTTCAATATTTATTATCGTCTGCACTTCTATTTGGTATTATTTTAAATTAAAATATAGTTTCTGGAAAACGAAAGGTGTGAGATTCATTACACCGGCAATACCATTTGGTAACATAAAAGATATGATTCTGCTGCGCAAGTCAACAACAGAAATGACAAAAGAACTTTACGATGCTTTCCCAGAAGAACGCTTTGTGGGATTATTTGAAGGAATGAAACCGATGATTCTTATTAGAGACCTGGAACTGATTAAACACGTGATGGTGAAGGACTTTTCCTACTTCCAGGTATAGTAATAGCATTTAGTTCAGTTTTATTTTGGTCATTATTACATTATTTATTATACTGCAATTGGGTTTTAGCCCGGTGGCAGTAGTACACAATAGGACACAACAGACAAGTAACACACATTACACTAAGTGACAACACGTTCAAACGAAACACAATACACACAACACAACAATAAGGACATCCTACCACAGTGAATACAAACCAAATACGATTAACAACTACAACAATTACAGAGAAATACAAACAACTGCGACAAATACAACAACAAAGACATCCTATCACAATGAATACAAACCAAATACGATTAACAACTAAAACAATTACAGAGAAATACAAACAACTGCAACAAATACAACAACAATTACAGAGAGAGAGAAAAAAATACAACACCCAAAACACAAACAAAAGGAAACCAACAGTCATGGATGCGTAATGTCATTCACTTCACTTCACTTCACTTCACTTCACTTCACATGACACGCACGTTAGGTGCGTCATCAATACACGTGCAAGAAGAGCCTGTTTATGGCATTTATATACCCATCTGATCACAAATAAGGCTCATCTCTTCTAGCTACGGCCCAACAGCTTACCCAACTTTGTTGACAGACAATGTCCGCTTATGCCGGAAATGGACTGCAGCTCCGATATGCTCACCTATGCCTTTAAAAGTCCATGCATCCGTCTGACAGATGGACGGTTTATAGCTATAGATGTGTCAGCGGACATTCTTATGAGGCCAATATCTTACAGCTTCTGTTGCTTGTAACACGTGACCTATAATATTCCTCTCGTCTTCTCTTATTCTCTTTGATAGTCATGGCGGCAAAGAAACATCTTTCACTATATTACTTCTAAACTGTCTTTAAATCATTTAGACATTTCTTCGTCAATTACTTTTCATGTATGGTAGCTGTTCAGCACAATCATTTTAATATTTTCTGCTGTTGTCTTTGAAATTATCGCGACTTCTACGAAGTCCACAATTTACACAGGGTTTCTGATAACTTTTTAGCCCCATTGATATTACAGACTTGTTTATCTAAATAAACACATATTCCCCCCCCCACACACACACAGTCCTATATGCGTACATAATCTCACAGGAGTAAGAAATCGGTGCAAATTACTTGTGCATGCTTTCACATGTACGACTGACCTTCTCTATGCTATTTTCGAAACGAAATTAACTGTTGTTTTGTAGTCCGCATTGGTTATTAGGTACCAATTAACAATGAAACCAATCCGGCCAGTAAAGCCGGTTTNTGACAAGAATATACTTTGTTACACTCGACGGAGGTTATATTGATAACCGGTTTCAGTAATATCTACATTTGACGCTTGGAACTCAGGTGAGCGGGCCGTTATCTTCCTGAAGGTACCACTGATGAAGTTTTTTATTTAGGGAGACGAAATCCAGAAAATACTTAAATTTAATCGAAGTTGTTAAGTCATTTTTAAGAAAATTGTCATTATTTGTTGGAGGTTTTCTAAAGGGCCTATGTTTTTGAAACAATAACATTGAGTTTCGCCGCTTCTATATCTATGGTGGATAATTTCTAAAATACTGAATATGAATTAAACTTCCCTACTGATAAAATGAGCAGAAAATATGTCAGTCCCTCAATATCTTGAGATCAGTTTCTTTAACGGGCACTCACTTCCCCATATATGTATACTGCGTGCGTAAGAAAGTAAGGCCAGAAGAAACCTAAAATAAAAATACGCCCCTTTCTTTCGGTGTAGCTGAGTGTCTGCGGCGTCAGGGAGGGTAACGCATGTGAAGACAAATATGGGAGACAGTAATGCGAAATTTTACGACTATCCGATATGGAGCTACAGTCTGACTGCCCAAGCGATAACGCCACAGACTTGCGAAAGGAAGGCGTGACGTTTGTCGAGGCCCATGAGCACATACAAGTGTGTCGTCATCCTGTGCCAGGAGCCTTAATTTCAAACGCTTGGACTTTTGTGCAGTAAATGAGTCAGCATTTTCCTCGTATGAAATATGAAGTTTTCTTTTTCTGTCAGTATGTCACAATGGGCCGCCTCTGTGGTCTAGTGGTCAGAGTTCCTGGCTACAGATTCAGAGGTCCGGGTTCGATTCCTGGCGCTACCGGATTTTCTAAGAAGTAGTGGATATGGAACGAGGTCCACTCAGCCTCTGTGATGCCCCAAATTTGAGATTAGAAAGAGGATGGTATTACCCAAACGCTAGAGACTTGCGAAAAGAGTTTCCNATATTGCGGCAGACACAGCAATCAGACGCAAGGGGTCCGCCCCCAACCACCCATGAGAGCCAATGAGGAGGTTATTATGAGGATTGAGGACACTGAGGGGAAGTCACCCACCCTCTTTCGTCAAGGCTGAATCAGCGAAATAAAACCATAAATTAGGGAATTTCGGGGGACTTAGATCATGTTCTAACAGAATATTCAGTTGTCAGCCGGAGGCTCTCGGCGACATGTATTCCATAAGAGGGTGGACAACGGCTGTAATCTACATTTGTATGGCAAGTAAGTCTCTTTGCTCATATACGCCATGCTGTTAAAGGTTGTGTTAATACAAGTGTTATTGTGAGATAATGAGGCAGTATCCAGTGAACCAAGTGAGAGTCAGAGTAGAACAGGGTAGGAATGAATGTACAGTAGCAGACGATGATAGGAGGCAGTTCAGGGCACCTCCCCTTCACAACTAGGACGGTAGAATGGGTTTAGCGAGAAGTGTCATGTAAACAGATAAGAGCAGGCCTTTTTATTAATGTATTTATGATTGTAAATAGACAAGTGTACATAGTGGAGAATGTACGCAGGGAGTTCTGATTCGCCCATTAGTAACCATCCTGTCCTCAACCCAGCCCGAGCTCCCCTAGCCAAGACCGCCAACGGCAGCCGAGTGCAACATAGATGTTAGCGAAAGAGAATAACAGACGAAAGTGATTATAAGTTCTCACCCCCTCCCCCTGAGGTGTAACAGCCTCGTGAGGATAATTGAGGAACTATTTCAAGGAAATGTTGGCTCCGGTCTAGAAAACCGAGGTTAACGGCCGTGGAAATTCGTTGCGCTGACCACGCGACACCCTCTATCCGCTAAAGTTGTCACTAACTTCGCCGACGAGCGGCGGTCACTCGGTCAGTATAGTTCGCTTGCGAACTTCAGTCAACGGAGTTTTATATTTGAGCTCCAGAAGATTTAATCAGTATAGCAACGGGCTACCGACTGGACAGCCAGTACATGGGTTTCGATTTTTTACAAGGGCAATAAATTTGTCTTTCGCTACAGCTTACAACATGTGGCCTTTGGCCCACCAACTTCCTGTTTAGTGGGTACTAGAGTCTTTTTCCCAGGGAGAAAATCGACAGGATGCGAAGGTAACCACTCACCTACATTTAGTGTCGAGGTTAAGAATGGTGGAAATATACCTCCATTTCCCCATACATCATCATTGCTTGTTTGTTAATTAAGAACAGTTTGAACGCAACATTTTACCTTACATTCGTCGATTTTTAGTGATCTGGATCTTTGCTACTTGACAGATTGGAGCATTCTCCACTGCTGACAATGATTCCATATGACGGCACTGTTTAACATATATATTTAGTTGAATATAAGAAGTACAAAGAGTAGTAATTCTGTATACCTTGTCTCTGAATTATGAAAACCATCGAAGTGGAATCATAATGAATAAAAGTTTTGTCTAACGCAGACTATGTTGAAATGATGGTACTGTAACATCCTTGCTTGTAGGACCGTGGGTTAGTAAGTAGCGAGGAAATCGAACCTCTGAGTGCCCATCTATTCAACTTAACAGGCAAGAGATGGAGAAGCCTTCGTACCAGGCTCACACCCACCTTCACATCAGGGAAAATAAAAATGATGTACCACCTGATGACTGAGTGTGCTCATCAATTGAAAGAATACCTGGAGAGATCTGCACAAAATGGTGAAATGCTGGAAATGAAAGAAGTCATGGCAAAGTTTACAACCGATGTAATTGGTCTTTGTGCTTTTGGACTTCAGTCTAATGCAATTAATAATTCTGATTCTGAATTTCATCGAATGGCAAGACAAGTGTTTTGTTCATCTCCATTAAAAGGTGTGGTAGCTGTGTTACAAATCGCTTTTCCTTCTTTGATGAAAATATTTCCTATCAAACATTTACCAGCTGTGGTTAGTAAATTTTTTCTGAGAACAGTAAAGGAAGTGATGGAGTATCGTGAGAAAAACAACGTATCCCGTAATGATTTCATGCAGCTGCTCATTGAACTGAAGAATAAGGGGAGGGTACACGATGATGAACCTGTGAAGTCAGAAGACAAGTTGGACAGGACGTCTCATAAGGAGTCAGAAACCAATGTTGGTGAGTATATTGCTTTTTTTTTTTATATATTTCGAGATATATTGTAACTCTTTCAAATAGACCATTTTTGAAAGTGAAGGTTTTGCTATCCTTAATCCCTTGTATAGGCATTTCAATGTCTTATTCTCCGCGTGAATCTACTGTGTGATAATGTAGATACCATAAAGAAAAACACACAAACTTTAATTGACGCAAGTAAGGAGGTTGGTCTAGAAGTAAACACAGAGAAAATTAAGTAGATGTTGCTGTCTCATGACCAAAATTCAGGGCAAAATCATGATATAATGATAGAAAACAGATGTTTTGAAAATGTGTCACAGTTCAGATATTTGGAAATGACGATAACAGATCGAAACCTGATTCAGGAGGAAATTAAGAGGAGATTGAACTCGGGTAATGCTTGCTACAATTCAGTCTAGAACCTTTTTGTCTTCTCGTCTGCTGTTCAAAAACGTAAAAATTTGAATGAACAAAACTATAATTTTGCCTGTGGTTCTGTATAGGTTTGAAACTTGGTCTCTGAACTTAAGGGAGGAACATAGACTGAGGGTGCTTGAGAACAGGGTGTTGAGAATATTTGGTCCAATTTACACGGTCAAATGCCTTCTGCCAGTCTATAAAGCAAGCACACAGTTCTTCATCTATCTCCAAAGTTCGTTCTGCTATAATTCTCATCATCCCAATTGCATCCTTGGTTTCTTTTCCTCTCCTAAATCCAAACTGATCCTCTCCAAGTATATCCTCTATTTTCTTTTCGATTCTTCTTTTAAGTATCTTTGCTGTTATCTTTGCTGTATGTGCAATAAGGCTTATTGTGCGATGGTCGCTGCATTTTGTAGCTTTTGTCTTTTTCTTTAAGGCTTCTGTAAAGTCCTTGGGCCACTCTCCNCCTCTGATCTACTATTCTATTCCCCTGGGAGTCTTTGATGCCAATATTTTGAATCCCATGATTCTCTTTCAATCCTAGTTCTTTTGTCTTCATGTACAAAATCATAAAGTCCTGTCCTTTTGAAATTCTATAATCTCATTACATATCTTCTCAAGATATTCCTTTTTGGCCCTGTCCGTGGCTCTTTTCAATTCATTCCTCAGTCTCCTGTATTTACTTCTGCCTTCTTCATTGTTTACATTCTTCCATTTCCTTCGCTCCTCCATTTTACTCATCATCTCCTGTGTAACCCATGGTTTTCTTGCTATCTTCTCAACTTTACCAACCAATTCGCTAATAGTATCTAACATGCATTTTTTATATTGTTCCACTGCACTTCAGCATTTCCGCTTTCACTTTCAATTTCACTGAGTTTCTCTTCTAGGGTCTCCTGCACGCTTTGTCCGTGAGCATATAACTTCTCCAAATCCCTTCTAGGTCTGCGCTTTTGGAATCTTATAATTTTCTTCAACCTAGTTTGAAACTTGACAACCATAAATTATAGAGTCGACGTAAATTATTGGGATGGTTATATGAAGGGGCAAAATTGGCACAACATGTACCTTGGCTGGTGGAGATAAGAAACACACCAATAATTTAATAAAAATATTTTGCGTCAAAGACAACTTGCGAAACCTTCAATCAGACAGGAGCATAAGATTTAATGCGAAGAATTCAGGCTTCTGGGATGTGGCGCTTGTAGGTCTTGTGTAAACGAACGTTTCGGAGGAACTTATCGCCTCAGTGTTCAGGGTAGAAAAATCCGCGAACGAAGTGCCAGCGTGAGGAAGTGGCTGAAGTCCGCAGAAGACTTCTATGATATCTGCACTGAATACGTTCAGGAAAGGTGTTTGACGTTTCTTATGCCTCTTCAGCCTATGAACTGGATCAATTTGAAGGAAAAGGTGTCATGGAAGAGTGAACAATTTAACTGTGTTTTCATGAAGGCTGCGATACCTGATTTGTCACTGAATGAAGATGACTTATTTGATGAGTTTTCATGTGTACAAAAATACTATGAAAGTAAACTGGAAGTAAGGAATTAAAAAAGTGACCAAAGTATTACCAAAAAGTGGTGTGAAATGTTGACTCACTTTCCAAAAGAAAACATAAATGATGTTACACTTAAATGTCTGATTAGTGTTTGTTTGGCACTGCCAGGATCTAGTGCATCTATTGAGCGTGTTTTCGCAATAATAAATGCTTATGGTCAGATGAAAGGAAACAGACTTAAAATAGAAACAGTTATAGCCTAAACCATTGGGAAGACCCACTTTAATTTCTCACGTTCAGAGTTCCTTTCTCAAATATGGAAAAAAAATGTTTCTGGGACAGGTTCACAAATGTGGGAAATATTCAGGTTAATCTGGGAAGGCTTTCGCAAATTAAGACCTATATTTTATTTATGTATGAATTTTTTAAGTGTCATGTTTCTAAATTAATTATTTTGAGCTTATTTTTATATGTTTAAATTTCTCGATATTTAATATATAATGTATTAATGATTTTTGTTTTTATTAATCTTTACCACGTCTCTTTATAATCAAATGCCCCGATTTTTTGGTGATAAATGCAAATGTCCCGTTTTTTGAAAAAGAAAATAAATATGGGAACCCTATCCAAAATGAGCTTGCGTGAGAGTTGTTCAGTAGAAAGAGCAGAAGACCACATGTTCATGGACACTTCCAACTAACCTCTTTCACTTTTTTTTAATTCGCATAATGGGGGGTGGAGTCCAGTTGGGTCCACTGGGCACGGTGGCACTGATTGGCCTATTGTACCTGCCCCAGGTGATCATGATGATGGAGAATTTGGTGGAATGAAGATTGGCAGGGGAAACCGAAGTACTCGGAGGAAACCTACCTCAGTGCCACTTTGTCCACCACAAATCCCACTTGACCAGACCCAGGCTCGAACCCGGGTAGCCGCGGTGGGAAGTCAGCGACTAACCGCTTGAACTATGGCGCAGCCTTGACCTCTTTACACTTCCTTCCTTCCTCTTTTAAGAAAATTTTTGTGCAGGTGCCATGAGTCCTTGGAGACGCTATGCTCCAATTGACTATGGGCCTATATATAAAGTTTGAGTACTTAATAATCCAGTAAAAATCAAGACGTCCTGAAGGAAAAATGCTCAAGATTTGTGTGCGTTAGATAAGAAATTATGTGGTTGCTTCAGAAAATATGAAATAGCCTATTCCCCATGCCTCTTTCCCCATATCTCCCATAAATTAGTCCAGTGTATTGCTATTCTACCCTCTCCAAAACTGCAACACCTTGACTCTGTGACATGTCACTATGCAGTTTAGTTTACAAAGCAATTGAAGCTAATGACAACCATGCATGGAAAATATAGACAAGCAAACTGCTTTCTTACAGGATTAGATCACTTTACATTTGCTTCATCTCTACCTATGTTGACAGAATTCACAGACAATTTGCTAGCATCGCAAGCATTTATCTTCTTCGTCGCTGGGTTTGAAACATCATCTACAGCACTGAGTTTCTGTTTATATGAACTGGCACTAAATCCTGAAGTACAAGAGCGGCTGAGGGATGAAATTGATTCTACTCTGGAAAAGTATGAAGGGAAGATAACGTATGACGCAATACAGAGCATGTCTTACCTTGACAAGGTGGTTGCTGGTGAGTGGGTTGAAGTGCTTTAGTTTTGTGTATTAGGAAGGAATTCCATTTGCAACAATTATTTTAAGGTTACTCACGATGCAATGTAGAAACTTAAGGTTGTTATCTGTGGTTATACATATTTTTGGATTTTTTAATGTTTAGAAATTCTTTGTTTTATTCAGTACAAGTAATTTATCATTTAAACAGCAGAGAGACATATTTTGAGTCTTTCACTAGCAAAGAACCCATTGCAAGAAATTACGTAACTTCTGATTTTTTAAGTAATTCTGTTGTCAAATATGCACGGGGTCACACGGTAGCGTAGTTGGTTGAAGCAGTATGCTGCAAGCTAGAAAGTAGCGGGTTCAATTCCCGATGAGGTCATTGGATTTTTTCAATCGACCTAGTACTTCCAGCGGCACTGTGGCTGTGGGGTTGACCCAGCCTCTAACAGAAATGAGTACCAGGAATTTTTCTGGGAGTTAAGGGCGGCAGGTGCTTAAGGCTGACAATCTCACCGCCATCTGTGAACTAATTGCATAGATAATGTGGGACCTCGACTCTGACAAACCTATGGGCCTTCACAGCCTGTTACAGGGACAGCCTTATATTTTTCTTATGTATATGATTTAAAAGGGAGCCATGATATTGTAGTCGGTACAGCACCTGTCTACAAGCTGGACGACTTAGGGGTCAAATTCGAATCCCGGCAGGGTCAAAAATTTTCTCGTCTCCACGTCGTTGAGACCATCTCTGTGCCCCACCCAGCCTCCTATCCAATGGGTACCGCAGGCTTTTCCCCGGGAGTAAAGCGGCCGGGGCGTGAAACTGACCAGTCATCTCCAATTAGTGACCTCAAATCTTACAAGGACAAGAATACATGGATCTATACATCCACTCCTCCATATGTCTTTATTACGTAGTGCTTAATTAGTTAAGCACAGAAACAACTTTGCCTTTACCTTTACATGATTCAAATATTAAAAAGAATTTGTATATCTGGACCCTGTGACTAATATCATGAACTTGATTGTAAGTTTTAAATGTTATCTTACATAAAAAAATTAGGTCATTTTCAAAATCAGTTTCATCATATGCTGTACTGTTAGAACACTAGCTTAAACAGTAACTTTTCTCCTGTTGATTTCAGAAACTCTCAGAAAATATCCTCCACTTCCATCTCTGTTTCGCGCAGTAACAAAACCCTATGTAATTCCTGGGACATCTGTACGTCTTCATGTGGGAATGAAGGTCATGATACCTGTATGTGGATTACATTATGATCCACAATATTTTCCTGAACCTGAGATCTTTAATCCTGAAAATTTTAGTGATGATAGTAGAGCAAGGAGACCACACAATGCATACCTACCCTTTGGAGATGGACCAAGAAACTGCATCGGTAACAAAAATTTGCTTTGTGTTATGAATAATATTTCTGAAATATGTCAATTTTTGTATTCCTTGTACAAATATGTATGTCTTCCTGTCCAAAATCAAGAGCTTGACACTTCCAACTAATTAGTTAGATGGTACTACAGAATCTATTTGTTGTAGGTCTTTACTGTTTCAATCTATTCCTCTGCCTGTAGAAGAATGGAGCAAGGTATAACCAACATAATCTTTTAGAGTTTCAGAATTTCAGCCTTTTTGCGTCCAATTATTGATAATCTTGAAGCAGAGTCCATCTTGAGGTACTTTTTGAACTGACCAAGAAATTCTCCATATATTGAGGCATACAAAGTTTTATTGAAGTGTTTACAAAAGCCTCTCTCTGTACACTATCCTGAACCAAGCGAATCTATTAAAGAACTAGCACCCCTTGTATTTAAAATCATTTTAATATTATATTTTCATATATGTTTATGTCTCCCTGCTCATAAAATATTATTCTCCACAAATGCTTTATGCAATAATAAGACCTGCATTTGGAAATATGTAACTGAGAATAGAAAGAAATATTTCATTGCATTCTGATAATAGAATTCGGTCTGATAGAATTCTGTGTTACATGTTTAATTTCTTGGAGTGCACTACATTTCGAAAATAGTAGTATAATCAATTTACTTTTAATTCTGACAAAATTACCAAACATAATTTTGTGTAATCGTTATTAAGATAGTGTTTCCATGTTGATATTGATGTTATTGTCTGTGATTTTAGGAATGCGATTTGGATTACTGCAGGCAAAGTTGGGGCTCTGTGTTCTCCTCTCCAACTTTAAATTCAGTGTCTGTGACAAAACACAGCTGCCTATAAAACTAGATCCTAAAATAATGGTCATGGCCTCAGAATCAGGAATATGGTTGAGAATCAACAAACGTGATATGTAAACACACTTTCCAGCTTGGTGTCCAGTATATTCAGAGGGCCTGGAAGGTTGTGGGCTCAAGGTAACTTATTACATAATTAATCTGTATAACACAATTCATTTATTAAACTGGTTACCGCAGAGTATGCAGATAATAATGTGTATGTAATTCCACTTTGAATAAAATACTGCCTTGTGGTTTAGAAATTTATATAGGTAAAATGCGTTTTTTTTATTATTGCTAGTGTAGTGGGACTAAGTCCCTTGTACTGCGGTCACTTCTGGCCTATTGTACCAGCCCCAGATGATAGCTGAGGGTGATTCTGGAGCAATTGGTGGAATGAAGATTGGCAGGGGAAACCCGAAGTACTCGGAGAATACCTGCTCCAGCGCCACTTCGTCCACCACAAATCTCACTTGACCAGACACGGGATCGAACCCTGGCCGCCGCAGTAGGAAGCGAACAACTAACAGCTTGAGCTATGGCGCTGCCTTGCATTATGTTACTACACAACATAGAAAAGGAAATATAATTTCTCCTGCCTCTTCTTACAGTTACTAACAAGTGGTGCGTGTTATCAAAAAGAAGAATTGAATGACATTCACAGACATTTGTGATCCAAGTTGTCACAGGAAAATTGCTACAAACTCTTAAAATATAGATGCAGCAATTTCTTTCCTCTTGTGTTGAAACTGCGGGAACATCCCACATACTATCACGCTCTTTCGCCCATCAACGGACAACACTCACTCCTACGTCAATAGCACAAGTCAAAGTCAAAGTCAAAGTCATGTTGCAACTTACGGTCAGTCAGTCTGTCTGTCTTGGTGTCGAGACCCAGCTGGGCTCATGACCAGATGTTTTCTTCTTTGTGAAAGTCGCTGTCCTGTCCATTTGGGGCGCCCTCTCTGACGAGATCTCGGGTCTGTCATTTAGCAGTCTTAGTCAGTCCATTGTCAGTATTGACATATATTTACAATTTAATTCAAGTCTTAATTAGTATTTCTATGTACAATATATATAAGGCCTCTGTCAATCCAGGCATTCTACAGCAGATTATGCTCTATTTCTAGTATTATTTGCTACAACGGCAGTCTAGACACTTCAACGGTCGTATGCCTGACGGCCGCCAAGTTTGAGCCTCTTATACTTTCTATGTCGGGCTTCGCCTTGTCCGATGTTGCGAACATTCTCATTTTCATGATTTTGTATGACTTCCGATTGTTGCCTGCATATTTTTTTTATGTAATCATATACGTATGGAATTTTGAATACCATGTGCAATTCGCGGACCGATGTGCCTTTTTTTCGGGTCATTCGCCTGATTGCTTTGGTGACCCAATTGACTGCCGTTTTACACTCTGGATCCCTGGTTTCTTGCCACAGTTTTCGTAGCCTCTGTTTATATTTTATCAAACGATCTAGACCAGGAAGATCGTTGTTTATGTCCGAAAGTGAGCGCTGGAATATAAAAATTAATGATGATAAAACTCGGGGGGTCTACTTCTCTCGTGAGTATCGACCGCCTGAGTCTCGTCTTACTCTTAATGGACGAAATATTCCATTTGTAAATAGTGCAAAATATCTAAGTGTAATCTTCGATAAGAAAGTGACGTGGAGATTACACATAGAAATGATCGAAGCCAAGGCCTTCAGAACATTCATTAGAGTATATTCCATATTCAAAAGTGAGCGATTGAGCGCTAACATTAAACTGACCCTCCATAAAACTCTTATTAGATCCGTAATGACTTATGCTAGTCCCGCCTGGGAGTTTGCGGCAGACACTCATCTAGTGAAATTGCACCGCCTGCAAAACAAGGTTCTCCGCACCATTGGCAATTTTTCAAGGCGCACACCGGTCCGCGAATTGCACATGGCATTCAAAATTCCATACGTATATGATTACATAAAGAAATTATGCAGGCAACAAGCAGAAGTCATACAAAATCATGAAAATGAGAATGTTCGCAACATCGGACAAGGCGAAGCCCGACATAGAAAGTATAAAAGGCTCAAACTTGGCGGCGGTCAGGCATAAGACCGTTCAAGTGACTAGACTACCGTGGTAGCGATTACTACTAGAAATAGAGCATAATCTGCTGTACTGAGCCCGGTTTGACAGAGGCCTTATATATATTGTACATAGAAATAGTAATTTAGACTAGAATTATATTGTAAGTGTATGTCAATTCTGACATGGGCTGACTAAAACTGACAAATGACAGACCGGACCTCTCGTAGGAGATGGCGCCCCAAAATAGACAGGACAGCAACTTTCACAAAGAAGAAAACATCTAGTCATGAGCCCCAGCTGGGTCTCGACACCAAGACAGACAGACTGACTGACCGTCAGTTGCAACATGACTTTGACTCTTACTTCGCAATCATCAGTGACGACATCAGCCAGTCAGCCATCACACCTAGTCCATAGCAATCGGTCTTCGGAGTCATCGGCAGTTCACTGCCTCAGGGACGGCTGCCTCGCCTCTCCGGCGGTCATGCCCCACTCACTGGGCAACTGGCGCAGCTGCCGCCACTCCAGCGACAGCGCTCCACGACCGTACGTCTTCCAGCAACTGCCGCACTGTGACCACACAACTTCCGACAACTGCCGCACTGCGGCCAGACAACTAACTCAGCTGCCGCAACATTAGCCAACACACCGTAACCAACATCTATTTCTACCGGCGCACACGGCCCTACATCACCGGTCTTTCAAACAGGCCTACTATCAAGGAACGAACTGCACTTTTCAGGGCCCTCGAACTTTCCGAAGTGGTTGTCTATTGGAGTACCGACAAAATCCCACAAAACTTTATTCATAATATAATTTTTTTGATGGAAAGAATTAGACTATGTTTGATGGAGGTTTTGTGAGAAGCTTATAGTCCTTAATTTGGACTGATTGTATAAACAAACGGAGATATACAAAATATATATATATATGTAGGGAGATAGAAACAGCGGTCGCTTAAATGTCGTCTTAAGGAAAAAATTATAATATCCGGTTTGAGACGCTTTGGGTTCTTGCTGCGTAGGAACCGACATATTCACTACTTTACGGTTATGAGGGATGCATGTTTTTAAGTTGTTTTCATCATAATAGAAGACTTGCACATTACGTTTTCGATCTCGGATTGAATGTGTGCTGCACCTTTGAGGAATTTAATGAAATAATTGTGGGCAATAGGCCCACTCATAGGCATGATGATAATATATTTGCTAATAGTGACAATATAATTTCTTATTATATAGTGATGAGTTTGTGAATTTTGTAGAGCGTGTTCTTTGAAGTTTTATTTATGCATTAAATTCTATGTTCATGAGACTTCTTTGTTCTTGTGTTTCATGCTGCTTAGTAGTTTCAATGGCCAAATGTACATTTCAAACGGCATGAGAGCATTTCTTGGGGGCTCTGTGGGATTTCGAATAATAAGTTTGCCCCATTCAATCACGAAACTTGGTCTCTGACTCCGAAATAACATAAATTGTAGGTATTTGTAAACAAAGCGGAAGATAGACATTAAGAACCAATACGTATGAATAACTGGGAAAATATCAGGCCTATACGAGTATAAGAAGTTACTTTGCAGTACTTTCTTTTCTTCAGGTGTTCTTTTGCTGAAACAGGTTACAATTTATTGGTCGCGTAGATTAAACAGGGTGGATGGGATAGGTCGTTTAAAGAAGCTGTATCAACTGTAACGGGTGCATATCTTCCAACGATATGAGAATATCGTGCCTTCAGTGTTCTGGATGTGTTCTGGGAATACGCAGCCTTGACCTATTTCGCAAATATATTTCCGTATTTATGTGACGGGCTGACGGAAATCACGTGAGACGTCAGTCAGGGAAGTCGGTGTTCCTGCCTGAATAAGAAGCGGGCACCTCCCGAATACAAGCTATAACGTTACCTTTTCAACCAATTCGATCGGTGAAAGAACGAGAGAAAGAAGAAATGCGTGCACAAATTTGGAGTAAAACCTTTCTCACATGGAAAGAGAAATTGCTGGTTTTATTGAAATGGAATTCGGAAGAATCGAAGTGATTCGAAATTAGGTGTAACACTATCAGAATCCAGTACCAGAGTTGGTTAATTCGTTTGTTAGGTTTCTTGAAGGCATAATATTAAAAAATGCATTGAAAGATAGTTTATATATGATTGATGACAGCTGTTACGTTGAAAGCGCTTATTCTGTTAAGAACTAAGAAATAACAAGATAATTAGGAGCTAAAGATAGACTTTACCGTGTATTACTGAACATACGTATTTTCTTTATAGCATCTTATATAAAATAATCAAAGTATACAGAATTTGGACGCATTACATGCATTTCCTCTTGTTACATTTGTTGAAACGTGAAACCAGGACCATATCATTATCAGATTTGTCAGGAGAGTTTTCTCTCGTGTTAGGTCCACTCAAAGTTACGAGTATATAGGTCCGTAGGGAGCAAACCCTTGTATTACTTCACTGCACCAAGAGCACCCCCTGTGTCCCCCTGTGTCCCTCTGTGTCCCACTGCACATGACATTGCTCAGACAGTCGTTGGCTTTCATCGCGGCGTTCAGGGTCGTTCAATATCAGATCGGCTTGTGTGGGATTTGTTGTGGACGTAGTGAGATTAGGGCTGGTTTTCCCCAAGCACTTCAGTTTCCGCTGCCAATTTTCATTCCACCATTCGCATCATATTCATTAATAATGAGTAATGCTATATAGTCTCGATACTGGCAACGTCATTTAACAACTAACACGGAAATTATATTTTTATTCGTACTATTTATACCTGGCTCTGCGAATATTGGCCGTTTATAAAGAATTGTTTCTGAAGTAAATATTTGGATTACATCAATAAGATTTGTAGTAAAAGAGAAAGTGAACTCAGCTGTTTACTGTTGCCCGATTTAACAGCAAGTGGGTGAGTGTAAACAGGATTTACTTTTAATTACATATATTATATTTGAATTACGTTATCTAATGATTCTGTATTTCAGGATCCCGTTGTAATTGTTCAAATTAGCGTCCATTGTTTATCTTCCGCCAAAATTTCAACACTTGTATGTTCTACACTTCAACACTACATGTTTCGGCCTCAAACGGCCATCTTCAGGTGTTTTTATGTTACAGATATTTTACTAAAACTCTGTTGAAAGCTGCTACACTGTTTTAATTCGTGTTGAAATCACATGCTGTAGTCTTCTTAAGTAAAACGAGATAAAATAATTTAAAATTTCTGTTGCATATTATTTCACCTCACCCAGGGTGTCGCCATTTTCGTAAATGTATCAAGGTGTTTTTCTCGGTAGCTTGCCCCTCACGTTCGTGGTCTACTTTCAGTTTTTGACTGCCATAGGCTCCTGGTTTGTATGTGCTTCCTAGTAAAGACTAGTAAAGACAACACCATATGCTGTGGAGGAAGCATACACAAACCAGGAGCCTATGGCAGTCAAAAACTGAAAGTAGACCACGAACGTGAGGGGAACCTACCGAGAAAAACACCTTGATACATTTACGAAAATGGCGACACCCCGGGTGAGGTGAAATAATATGCAACAGAAATTTTAAAGGATTTTATCTCGTTTACTTAAGAAGACAACAGCGTGGGATTTTAACACGAATTAAAACAGTGTAGCAGTTTTTAACACAGTTTTAGTAAAATATCTGTAACATAAAAACACCTGAAGATGGCCGTTTGAGGCCGAAACATGTAGTGTTGAAGTGTATAATGTAAAAGTGTTACACTTTTGACGGAAGATAAACAATGGACGCTAATTTACATTGTCTAAAGTGAAAGTAACGTTAACAAAGCCAAATATTTAGGATTAGACAACATTAGAATCAGATTGGTAGAGATCGTAAATCTAAGTCTAGACACGATAAATGTCTTCACAGAACATCGATCAGTTCATTATGTCTGTACTGTGAAGTAGCGGTGAAACAGAATCTGGCTAGTGAAACTTTAGCTCGGAAGATCGCTATATGCATCAATTTTGAAGATTTGCTTAGAGTCGATGCATTATGAAAAATAAACATACGATTAATATGAAATTTCAAATAACCACTTGGCGACAGAACATCGAGGATGATGACATCGTAACTTCAACCCCGGTTGCTGCAGTCCTCCGAATACCAGTACAGCCTGCTGACGGGTGTAGTGGACTTATTGACTGAGTATATCAACAATTTCTTTGTAGTGTCGTAATTCCAGATTGGACTCTTGTTCGTGCAGATACTCAGATAAAGCCTGCAACTGACTGAGGAAATAACTGCATAATTTATCTCAGAAGAAGCGTAGTGCATACGGAGATTTTTTTTAAATGAGAGGAGTAATTTCCTGATATCTGAATCTCACGGAATTGTTCTAACAAGATTAATTCCTGTAAATACCGGAACATCTTTGTGTTCCTTCTAAAAATGAACCTTTCAGTCCATATTTTTAACAGTATTACTGGAATGTATGTATTTTTCACAGGTCAAAATCAGGCAGTTAATTAGAATTACTACGAGTATATTTACATTTTTTGCAGTTCATTCAATATTTATATGCCCAATACAATAGATATCCATATACGGGGGAGAATCAGTAAATAGTTCACAAATGGATATCGAACGTAAAACATATGACATTCGAAACTGGAAAGAAATATTTATTTCTCGACATAGCCTCCATAAAAATTGGTACATTTGTCCTATCGCTTTACCAGTGCGTCGAAACAGTAGCATAGAAATCTTTTGACTGTTGTCTCGGTCACTTACTCACCTTCGTTTCAACCTCTTCATCATCTACGGAACATTTGCAATTAAGGTGATTTCTTTAGTGGACCAGACATGTGGAAGTTACTAGGGGCAAAGTTCGGGCTGTAGGACGGATATTCAAGAGTTCTCACTGCAGTTCTTGAATTCTCTTCTGGATTGCTCGGGCTGTATGAGGTCTGGCATTGCCATGTTGAAGCAGCGCCTACTAGTTGGTCTGGACGTTTGCTGCATCCCGAAGCTTAAACCGACCTTCACAGTATGATGCAGAATTGACATTTTCACCACGCTTCTCAAAATGGACTAACAGTACTTCCTAAGAATCCCAAACATGGCAAGCATAAACTTCCCAGCTGATTGCGTAACCTTAACCTTTTGGGTTGAACGTGAACGGGGTTGTTTCCTTTGCATCGAAGCGCATTTTGATTCGGGTTGGTAGTGATGCACCCATGGTTCTTCCTCAGTATCAGTCATGTTAAGTACACTAGTATCATCATCATCTATATACAGTAAGAGATGTTGCAAGGACAGACCCATTCAGTTAATTTCTTCTGGATCGTTCAGTTCTCTTGGTACCCACCGTGAGCACACTTTCCGAAACTTCAAACGATCACGGATTATGATGTATGCTAAAACATGGGAGCACTCTAGTGCGGTTGCTACACTACCTATCCTTATCCTTCTGTCGGCTCGAATCAACTCATCCATCCGCTGCACAGTTGCTCCTGTCACAATCTCAACAGTGCAAAATCGTCGGGCATCATCTGTGACTTTCGAACGTCCTTGAGAGAATTTCGCTGCCCAGTTTTGAGCCTCTTTGAGCAGAATACACTGCCCATGGTAAATAAGAAACATTTATTTATGAATATACTGTGCAATGAGTCCTTTTGCCCATAAAAAAAGCACAAGAGAACGCTGCTCTTTGATAGTACACGCCTAAAGCACGGCAAGCACGGTCACCATTTTGACTACTGAAAGCAACCTCTGAACATGAGCATGCGTGTCTGCTACCGATACTGTAGCTGGACTGTGTTGTTACCTAGCGAAAGACATGGAAAACCTATTAGTCCATTATAGCGGTTTTACTTCCATTTGTGACCTGTTTACTGACTCCCTCGTAAATATTCTAGGATATGTTTATATTCCGTGTGTCCTGAAGTACGTATTGTCGCTTATATAAATGTTTTTACCTTTTCTTTTCTTTCCTATTTTCTTATTAAATGTAAGACAGAACATTTATTCTACGTTCATTACTTGCAAATCGATTTCGAATCGCAACAACATTTAATACATTGACCTAATTCGCTGATCTGTAACAGCATTGAGTTTTATACAAGCCCTATCCCTTAGACTCTAAACAAAACTTATCCCGCCAAAAGCAAAAGTAGTCATAATTCTCTTACCAGCTTTCTTGAGTTTCGCGCTCGGCGTATGAGGTCTGTGGACATAAATGTAGCAATTACAGAATTGTAGCCAACATGGCAGTTGCTTTCACAAAATTACAATTAACGCTGTCGATGTTACTATAATAGATTGCTAGCCTGCTCCTGCAGCTCTTTTATTGACGTAACAGCTTCTGAATATTTCTAAGCTTCACAGAATTTATTGTTATACGTCTAATTTTTATCTTTTGTTGAAAATAAAATAGAAGGATTTTGCTCCCGAGACTTTGTAGAAGGCGATGTCAGTACAGGTCAGATAAAATTGAACACCGCCTGAAGAAAATGAAGTCCAAACGCATAGTGATAAATGTATGCAAATAAGTGACGGTTTCTTTTTATGTTTTATCACATTGTTCAATTTATGAATCGTTTCAAAGTTCTTTGAACTCGATGTTTATACTACGTAGATCATTTCCTGCCCTAAGTGGGCGCTATAAATCTTACAGGCCCACTCTAATGTTTTGTATTCATAGGTCATGCTGTATTAAGATGGAAGCTTCTTCCAGAAAAGAATATATATGTTAAATTTCCGAAATGTTTCGCGATATTCAGTTGAGATTGTGTATGTTTCTGCCCCCTGTCGGAAATCTTTAATGCTGAAATATGAGGTCCTGAAGAGAAAAAGGATGGTTGAGGTTTCTTCAGAATAGGTTGCTTAGGGAAATATTTGGACCAGAGATGAAGGATGTTACATGAGGATGGAGACAATTAGTAAAGGAGGATGTCCATTGTTTAGGACCTTCAGACAGCGCTAGGGTGCTGAAGTGAAGGATGAGAGAATTGGGACGTTACCAAAATAGGGTAATATTATGGCCGTCTGCAGTACATTAAGGAGAATAGAACACTGAAATTAAAAATTCTGTAACTCGCAACTGTTCTCGGTATTCAAAAGCACTTCATGTGTTTCTCTTATTTAAAAGAAGAAATGGAATGTTCTGTGTGGGAAAATATTTATCTCCTCCCCGTAAATCCGGCAAGTCTGGAAAGGATGTCTCGAACCCCTTCAGTAAAACACAGACGCAACCTTGCCAGTGTTTCGAAATGAAGGGAACAGAGGATAGAGAAAACGCTCAGTTCTTCATTTTCTTTTTTGGATATTGAGACATAGAAAATTTTCTGACATTTCAAATAGCCACACAATAAAATCTGAGGAGTTACCTTCAGTCACACGTTTCAGTTGGGGTATTTATAGTATGAAAGCCAATATTAATAATTTTTTATTCAATTTACATTCAATATTAACAATACTTAAGATTCTACACCTTTTCAACATGACTAATATGTTCTCCTCTTCTGAACGGAATTATGGTAGTGAGAATGCAAGGGTTAAACAACTTGAGAGAAGTAGACGCAGATAGGTTAACACTAAAATGTATTTAACAGAAACTAAATATGAAAGTGTAGCTTGGATTCAACTGACTCAGAATGGAACAGAACAATGGTGTGTTCTGAAAGCGGCAGTGAACCTTCGGGTTGCTTAGAAGTCGGGGAAATCACCCCTGAGCAGAGCGCAAACGCCTTTTCAGAAGGACTCCGCTTTATGGAGTTCAGTACACTTGTTAGCGCGTAGATAATAATTTGTTCTGCTGGTACTTCTCATGTCACTGAGACGAATATAACGATTTTCTACGATATTTTAGCGTACTAAGTTTGGAACTCAATTTCTGACTGTAAAGAATGTTAAGAAACATGCTGAACAGATCTGAAATAGTGTCAGAAATTT